AATTTGTTGCATGCAATGTTGTTGAAGTAAAAAACTATTCTACTTCAGCAACATTGCCTGCAATGTTGTGCGCAATGTTGCACCGTGTGCACATGCGTTTACTCTCAAGATTATGACAAAAGGTCTGAAATGGGAAACATTAAGCTTATGCTCAGGCTAAAAGGGTCTATTTATTGTCTTGATTTTGTTGCTATTCAGTTGTTGCTCTTGTTGTTTTTCTTGCTGTCAAAAATTTGTCTAGTTAGGTACAAATTTAAAAGCAGTATTTTAGGTTAGAGCAATAGGTTAGAGCTTTTCTGAGAATGAACATCCTGGTCTAGTTCGGATATACAGATCTTTAATTGATAATGACTTTTATAGTGTTGTTTGCAGCAAAGYGTCGTTTATCATAGCCCCTTTCCTTTTGTTTTATAGCTGCACCCAAATGTACTTACTCTTGACTACCACCTATCACTCCAATCCTGCCTGCTTCACCTTTATGTGCCGTCTCCAAAAGAGGTGGAATTATCTCTTTAACCGCTTCAAGAAGTGCAGAGCTTGAATATTGACTGCAACATAGAAAGAAAACATAACTTTTATCTCAAAAACGCGCGCCATCTTTGTGCTTCCTCATGAATGAGATGCAAAGCTACCTGCTTTGGTGAACAGTTCTGCAAGTGTTTGCCGAAGATAAGCCTTCATTCTCAGCCATTGTAAGTCTCCCTTTACTACTTAACACGCAGGATAGTAAAAATCTCACTGAAAACCGACTGTAGAGGAGAGAAACGCAATTATTTAATGCATTTTTTCGYAATGCCATCCAAATATTTTTAATACATGGTAAGATTTGACTACAAGGCCTTCCTTAGTTGAAATAAGAGAAAAACTGGGCATAAGCTCAGTGTTCGGTCCGACCAAGGTGCGACCGGTCGTTCAACTCGGTTCTATAATTGGCTTGAACTTATAGAAATACGGTTTTTTGCAAACAAAAAAGAACACTTAAAATGCCTTGTCTCTCTTTATGCATTAATTCATTGTTTATAGCTGTTAATAAGGAATATTTACTCATTTTGAGACGACCACAAATCTTGTATCAAAACGACCGGTCAGCGTTCATCGTATCGCGGGCTAAACAAGATGGCGGCCTCCRCATRTGGAAAATTCYTTTGCGCTTTTCTTTAAAAATTCCTTTATAAAATGGCGTTAATTGATCGAAATTTYTAYACCGGTCCTGCGCTAATAGTAGGAGATGGTAATTTCTCGTTTTCGGCCTGTTTAGCTGAATGTCTTGGTGAGATTTCACCTCCAATCTTCGCAACATCCCTTGATAGTGAAGAAGAGCTACGATCCAACACGGTTGCCATAGAAAACCTCCAAAAAATCTCCGCGTTTCCAACGTTTAAAGTAATTCATGGAGTAGATGCAATGAATTTGGATTCCACCTTCCAAGATCAAGTTTTCCATAGAATTATTTTTAATTTTCCACACACGGGTGGTAAAGTGAAGATCAGCAAGTGTAGARGTCTCTTGGAAAAATTCTTTATATCTGCAAGAAAACACATTGAGCCCACCAGGGGGGTAGTGTGTGTCAGTCTTTGTCAAGGTCAAGGGGGTACCCCACGGGATGCTGTACAGAGAGAGCATGGCAATACATGGCAAGTTGTAGAACAGGGAGCGAAGGCAGGTAATGAGAGAATTAGTCTACACTAATCTTAAACTACTCCAGCCAGACGATCATGCTCAAAATTAATCATTAGCCTGCATAGCAGTGCTTTGGGGAAGGGGAGGGGGAATAACCTTAACCCCTTCTCTTCCCTACTCCCCAGTCCCCCTCCCCAAAGGGCCGCTACGCAGGCTATTCATCATAGAATTGTTGTTTTATCAAACACTTCTCTTTATTCAATCCTCTTGTACCTGTTGTCAGTCACCWCCAAGAACAAACTTTCTGCTAACCACTTTCACCTTGATCGTCACACTCAACACTCATCATATGATCCTAGGTTCAAACCGTAGGAACTCATAGATAAATTGAATCCTYGTAAGAAGCTTTGTTAAACTGACGTTTCGGACATTAGTCCTTCGTTGGAGTAAGAAGGACTAACGTCCAAAACGTCAGTTTAACAAAGCTTCTTACGGTGATTCAATTTATCCATAAGTTCCTACTGTTTTATTCAGAAACACTGACGCAGCCTACACTAGTTCTCTACTAGTTATCATTCACTAGGTTCAAACCCTTCAACTAATATCAGCTACCTTCAAYGTCAGTCCATCTGCAAACCACTCTCACTCAGACCATCACAGTCATCAATCTTCKTAAGATCTTAAGTTCTGGTTCTCACCCCTTTTCTTTCCCGTCCGTTTGTTTTAGGTTTTATCCTGAATRCAGTTCACCCATTCAAGGAGTCAGACTACCCAGGCTACAACAGTGCTGGGTTCAAAGGCAGACTCAACCAGAGCTTCTTAACAGAGAGAGGATTAACCTACATGTTCATTCCTGGTGATCTTATTCCTCCTGTTCCTGATCCTAAGTGAGTGATTCATGTATTCTGGAAATACAGACTATTATCATATGACCCGTATCTGCCCACTGTGCTCGGTYCATACRGCATCACCTCAAGCCAAATATTTTCCTGTACAGCCCTCCAACTCAGTCAATAAGTACATATTACATACTCAGTATTTATATAAACAGTGTAATGAAACTCTTTCAGACTCCCCTTGGTAGTTTTGGAGACACATGAATATTTTGTTGAACTACTGTACACAAATTTTACCCTCCTGAAACCCACCCCACCTTTAGGAAACCCCAATCTCTCTTCTCTGTGAGTAAGATAAGGAAATTTTCTGGACCTTCATAATATACACTGTACTGTATACCCTCCTCAGACACTATCCGCACCCTGAGAATTCAAATCCCCTGCAATGGGGGAGGTATGGATCTTTTCTGTAACTACACAATAKACCWTTTTCAAGTTTTAAATTAMCACTGTGTTCCTTGATTTTTTCAGYKTGTCCCTTCAWATCAAAGACACTTCAAAGAAACTCTTGCWCATCAAAGATCATCCAATACAAATACTCAAAAACAAACTTGAAAYGTGTATTACTAATCTACCTGGACATGAGAATGGCAAGCAAAAGTTTAATATTATCAATGATAAAGATATGGATGTTTCAGATAGATTTTCTAATTCCTGTTCGCTGTCTACTTCAAGTAATGAAAAGTCAGAAGCCTCACCTCTGTACAGAAGAGTTCAACAATGTGTCGTTCAAGGACAAACCTCATTTGTTGTTACAGACACTGAGACTGATTCATCAGTACCAGTCTCAGCAGGATTCCATCCCATATGTCATACCATGGCAATCGTTAGATTATATAACAAAGATACTCTATTTGAAGAAGTGGAATCTGACCTCAAAAGAAMGTATGATAATCTTGTTCATGAACTTTGTCCTGGAGTTTCCTTTACTCAAGATCAACTAAAGAAACAACCCTTAAGTATTGACTTGGCATTTAAAAGGTCTCAGATGAATAGGTTCAAGCCACAGGAATATCAAGAACTAAGAGAGAGACAAAGATATGAGAATGAATGGCGACCAAAGTGTGTGGAGCAAGAGGAGGAATGTCACTGTAGGAAATGCTGTGGTGTACGAGAAAAGACTGGGAATTTCTGTGGAATCTGTGAGCTTGAAGATAAATATTTCTGCAAAAAAAAYTATCTGAAAGCCAAACATCTGATTGGTAATCAGAAATCGTACAGATTTTATGGCTCTAATGGATTGGTCTTTACCTGTGGTTYAATCACAAGTAATGAAATGAGCGTGATTAGTGACGGTGGTAATAACAATCAAGGCTGGGTCATACTTGTTCATTTAGATCRTCTTGTAATGGAACTRTTTRGGATTAATGACATAAGGATGKTGTGGTCACAACAGAAGCTCTTCATACAACAGTTCTCGACACATGGCAAGGTATGTGAAAAATACTTTATTAATATCTAATAATATATTACAATAGGTTATAAATGAAAATTTTCATGAAAAATAATTAGAAGAAGCTACAGTATAAAATGTTATCCATTTTCTGGGCTAAAAATAGCAGCTGGTCAATCAATGCACATGCACTRTCCAGCCAGAATAATTGGAACTTTTTCAGTCATTTTGATTGGTAATGTTGAACCATAAACAAGGTATCTAAAAATAATTTGGCCTGCAATCATGACCAGTGACTGACCAGCYGGYCAMGTCTAGCACATGTACAGTATATTCTACACATTTACATGTATCCTAYWCACATACAGTCAATTCAAAAAACGTTGTCGTCRACTGGCTCAAGCCTACATGTATGCRATTGGACCAAAAGGAATATGGGTAAAAATCACTGAAGAGGTTAAATATTCGTCCTGAATTAATTGTTTYCGCTAGTAATAAGATAATAATGGCRAGAAACGATCCATCAAATGCATGTCTTTAGGTTTAGGGAAAGAAAATCAAAGTARTTATRATTCAATTCACRWCTCTTTCAACACTTCCCGCTAGCCTACGAAGGTTCKTGCTGTAAACCAGGCAYAACTAGTCAGATAAAATTATGGAGTCAACTCGGCTTCAATGATTGCTACCCAGAGTCCCTTTYGGTCCAGTCGCATAGGCTTGAGTTGGTCGATGACAACGTTTTTCGAATTTACTGTATGCTACACATATATACTACACTTATATTCTAGATGCATAATGTTCTACATGTAGATTCTACTTGTGATACAAAAGAAAACAGTGCAATTAGGGTCTACTTATGTGTATTAGTCTAATATCTATTTCWGAGGTTTAATGACTTCACTCTATTACATGTATATTCTACATTACAGGTGCATGTAGGATTCTACAGTTAGGGTCCAAATGTCACTTTACGTCTCTTGCACTTTTTTCAACAGGATTCAACCTTCCCATCCCATTTCATCCCATTCAGCCTATTCCCACCCATTTACATTCACGACATCTCTTTCTGGCTGACACCTGATTCAACAGAGGAAAAGTTCCTCAAGGTCATTCATGATGTCACCCAGAACTGTGTATGTGATGTATGGTTGAAAGACCGCTACGTGGATCAAGAAATGAATAGAGTGAGTTATGGATATCATATGTTGTATAGTAGGTGTGACAGACCTTTGACTCATTTACAAACTGTAGAAATGCAAAACCAACTCAGACAAATACTGATTGGTTTTGATTTTGATTTAAGTTGATCATATGCATGGGGATGCAATATTTCATTTAAYGAATAAAGAGCTATTTTCCGAGATYTGTTCAGTAAAAAAGCACACAAGAAATGACATAAGCATAAAAGAATATTGTAAGGAGAAACGCTCTAAGCACTGCTCAAAAAGTGTTAGTCCTTCTCACACTTCTTGAGCAGTGCTTAGAGCAATTCCTAAGTACTTTATTACTGAACAGAGAATGTTTTATTATAAAGCTACTAATTTTATTTCGGTATTAAATTTATTTACCCAAAAAGAAAGACATTTGCTTGGCATGATCATGAGCACTGCATTCAGTTCACTAATAAAGCAAAGTTTTCGACCAACAAGTGCWCACATACTGTACTATCCTAACGTTTTAATAAATATACATGGGGATGCTAAATGGTCCAATTATT